GCTGCATTGCTTCACCTACAGGTCATGGAGTCTTGGGTGAAGATGTCTTGTTCCACCAGATCAGCCCATGTTAGAGAATCATCTCCAGTGATGAAACTGACCTATTGCAGGATCCTTCTCTAACATGTATCACATCTCTGTAGGATACAAAGACAAGCTTTGAGAGATCACATCCTTAGGATCTGTAAGGCTTTGCCTCCAGAGCGGTTCTTTTCTGCTGTTCGTGCTGGTGTGCCCTGGACAGTATCTCTTGCCCTTCAAGTCAGTTTGTCCTCCTGGATCTCAAGGGCTATGCTCCAAACAACAGTGGTTTGAACAGAAAATCTCTTAAAATCTTACTCTGTTATGCTTCTGTCTTGTAACCTACCCTTATTTTAACAACCAGACACAGATGTCTGAAATAAGAGGGCCTCCATGAGAACCTGGAAGCACTAGCTCTCTAGTGTGGGCACATCCTCCTCTGCTTTTTTGTTCCTGGTATTATTGGCACAAATTCAGACTGGGTGGAAGTGGATACCACCCCACTGACTGCCCTGGGATTTCCGTGCTCAGTGATTGCCCCATGGCTCGCTAGGTGCTTGTGCTTCTTTTTCCAAGGGCATAATGCAAGCCCAAGCCAGTGCTGAGTGTCCTCACAGTGTGCATGGGCTTTTATGTCCTGGTGAATCAGGAGACGTTCAATCAGTGGAGCTGCACTGGGTCACTAGTGAGGAGTTTGTGTCCTTTCCAATATAATCTCTTTGAAATCTTCTACACATTGCTTAAATAAGGCTGCAGTATCTCTAGCCCCCAAGGTGTCTTGGACAGATGGATTCAGCAAAGGTTTGGCAGGCATTTTAGTTTCCCTAGGGCACAAAAAGTCCTCCGAAGAGGGACTGTGCCCTGCCCTTTAGAGTTCTGCTGGTCCCTGGCTCTCTCTGGGCTTCTTCATGAGGTTTTTCCAGGAGCAGAGTGCCCCACACTCTAGAAGGCTTTGCTGTTTTCAATATGCCATTGACCCCTTGCAGCTTTCCATGGGCTAGGAATCAGACTCAGGTTGCACTCGCCCGCAGTTTTCCTCTTACACTGGGATGGGGGAGGTGGGAGCGCTGCCAGCTCCTTGTCCTGGCACTTCACATCGCTGACATGTCCCTAGAAGAGTGCTCTTCTACCCTGTCACAAGGCTGGAAAATGTATTTGCACTGTTTGGCGTTTCCTTTTGCTTCCAGTGTAGCTGCCAGAAGCTCTCCAGCTTTCATGAACTAAAGAAAGAATGAGCAAGCGAGGAGCTCTGGGTTAGCTGACCTCCAGGGCACATCACCACCCATTTATCTCTTTCAGCACACACTAGAAATTTCTCAGATAGCGCCCAGCACACCTCTGCCCTCTTTGGTGGCTTTCTCCATTCATGCTCAAGAGGCTCCAGTGCTGTTTGTGGATGCCTGTGTGGAGGAGACTACAGGATGAGGCTTATTAAGAGGAATTTTAAGAAAGTTAGGTAGCATGTGATGGCAGTAAATCATTGCCTGCTGATTAGCTTGTGGAAAGAAGAATACCTTTTAAGCGTTCTTTCCAGCCTTTCCAATTATGGCTTTGGTACTGCTGTCTAACTTCACCAGGATGCTGCCTTACTTCCAGCAGGGCAGAATTGCTGCAGTGTGCTCCTACTCTGCTGCAGCACCTGTAGGGTACATTTCCGAGACATGGCAATAGCACTGAGAAGTCGTGCTACCAAAGAACTGTAATTCTCAACTTGTGGCATGGGCTTCTAATCATGTTTCATGTATATTCAGTGGTTACAATGAGGTCTGTGTGAATATGAAGATGGGTCTCTATGAGAACGATTTGGATCCGTATTGTCACAGAAATGGGTTACGGTTTAGGTGTTAGCTCTGTTTGGTAACACTGCCTCCTGCCTTGCATGTGGGCCTATAATTTCCATTGAGCCAGGTGTACCTGGGGACTGAAGGCTGTAGGGCCTGGGAGCCCATTAGAGGCTTAGGGATGAGCCCACTCAGGGTTCTTGTTTCCATGGGTGTTCTGGAAAAATGAGAAAGGCGTTCAGTCACATTTCAGATAGACATACATAGGCTGCATTCATTCCTAGTGTAACTTTCTTGAAGCCCGTGGTGCTATGCCAGTGCGAGCATGGCTTAGCAACTCTTCAGAGTGATCTGTCCTTGAATCCAGACAAACTGTGCTGTTGCAGTGTTGCTTTGAAGCATAGAGCTCACACTGGGACTTGGCCAACATGAACGGATGTTGAATTTCTACTGTCTTTCAAGCAATGGGTTGAATTGTTCTGCTTTGCTGCCTCTATCACAGCTGCTCCATGAAGGGAAACATTACACTCATGGTTATGATCTTGTTTACTCCCTCAAAAGCCAGCTAATGAGAAAAGTGACCTATGCTGTAACGGGAGAGGAGACTTCTCCCACAGGACTGCAGCCTTTCTACATGCAAAGGGAAACGAAGTTCCAAGGACAGAACTGAACCTGCAAGACTCATGGCCTCCCCTTCTTCCTTCCCTCTTCACACCATCTGTCTCACCTGGGGAAGGACAGTTTCCTTGTGGCGTTCAGCAAGCTCCTCTTCCTGCAGCCCACAACCAGGCTCTACTGTCAGATGCATCATTAACCTATGCAACACTTCCAGGTACTGCCGAGTTTTGAGGAGCCCGTGACAGTATGCAGCATGTTCATCCAGCACTGAGAATAAGCACAGCTGCTGCTGGAAAGCTAACTGGCTTTTATTCCTCCCCTCTTTCCAGTGGAGACTGTTTTTGTTGGGGCCTTTTGTTTGGTTGTTTTTTTTTGTAAACCTCCAACTTCTAGGGAAATGAAGCTCATGAGAAATCAGTGCCCATCCTGAAGCCTCTCCAATCCTTCGAACTTTGCGAGTGGATGCATTGCCTGCTGTGGTTATAATGTAGTGGACTTCATAGAGCAAAGTAACTTCACACACAGACACGAGGTTCTTTCACTCTCCATCAGTGCAAGCTGCTTCTGCAATCTTAGCTACTTACATTAGTGAAAGAAAAAAGCCTAGCTAGAATGTGTTGAGATGACTTAGTATTTTATATCAGTCCCACCATCCAAATATCCATTAGCAGTGCTGTCAGCTGGCATGCCATGAGTTCAGACTTTGGGTGGCAGCCCACGAACCCTGTCAGGGTGAAAAGGTTTGGAAGACCCACTGCTAAGTCTGTGCACATCTCCAGAGCACATGCAGAGAGGGTGTCAGTTGAAAGCAGACATCCCTCTGGTTCAGCACGAGGAGAAGTGGTTGGCTGTTATTTGGGTGCACCTCCAAGGGTAAGTCTGGATGTGTTGGCAGCTTTGGTCTGGTATGTCCCCTTCAGTCCTGTAGCGAGTGGGTTGCAGCGTGGCAGGGCATTGCTTAATGATCTGTGAGAGGAAACTCCTGACCTGGTTTTTGCAAGAAGATGGTGCAAAGTGTCACATTTGCAGCAGTGACTGGCAGAGAGCAGGGATAAAAGCATGGAACAAGCTGTGTTTGAGATGAAGCTAATCCCTTGCTGGCTGGCTGAGAGGAGAGAGCTGTTGGATCTGCTCCCTGCCCAATGCTCTCCAGCTCTTCTCACCCTCCTCAAATCCAATGCAAAAACTAGCATTACTCCAAGCTCCCAAATCGCCCCTCTTCCATCAGCTCCTTCTGGCCCATGAGCTCACACCATTCCAGTCCTCTCCTGGGAGATGTCGGTGGACTCGTAGTGACCTCAAGCATAGGGCAACCTATGGACAACCTGCCAGTCTGGCTGCACTGCCTCGAGCATTGCTCGCTGAGCACCACTTACATGCCCTGTGCCCACGGAGGCTGACTGAGAGCAGCTGTCAGAGGCTTTGCGGATGTGGGGATTTCTGTGGGAGACATGAGGCAAGGCAGGGCAGGAGGCTGCTATACTGCAGCAGCTGTGTTTTGGGTCAAGGATGGAGAAGACCTGGGGCAAAGTGGACTTTCAGGGTAAGCCCTTCCTGCCTGAAGACACATTGGATGGAGGAGGCTTTTCCCAGCTGAGGTGCCCAGGCAGGGCCTCGCTGTGTCGTCAGAGCAACACTGCTGCCTCCAGGACCAGCACTGACAGCTGGAGCACGTGTCACAAACTGCAATGGATAATGCAGCCACAAGGTGTAAATGTCACTAATGAATAAATTGCCTTGTGCCTGGGAGAGGCTAATCCATCATGGCCAGGGACAGGGATGTGATAGGGCTGGCTATTTCGGGCGCAGCTTGCAGGGAGGAATTGCTTCACATCTCAGCTGTCCCCTCTGCCCAGGGAGGTTGATGTGAAGCCTGGCTCTGTGCTGCTTCCATCTGCCCAGACACACCAGTTCAGGCCTCAGCCCTCTCCACTGTCACCAGAGGAGGGATTGGGCTATGTCCCCTCTGTCAGGAGACACAGCTGGCTCTACTACACCATTCCATAGGTCAGGCACAGTCCCCTTCTCCCTCCCCTGTATCTGAATACCACTCAGCAACACCGTGGCTGGCTGTGATGGCCAGCATGTAGGCGGCAGGCGGGGATGGAGTTCAACACAGACAAATCCAGCCCTGCCGAAGCAAAGGGATGCTGAGTGCAGTACCAATCCCCACGCATCCTCCTGCTCCTCCACCCCCAGCTGGTGCCTGAAAGCAGCCTGCCATCCTGTTGGCAACATATGGCAGTACGACACCTTGCAAACCTCCATTGCTGTGAGCGGAAGCCAAGAGGCTCAGGAAGCCGCCACCGGCTCCTCGCCCTGCCTGCACGAAGCACGGCTCACCATCTGCCGTGACTGCCAGCCAGCCCCCGGCACCTCTATCATTCCTCTGCCTCCTCCTCCCATTCCCCCGTCAGTCTGACACAGACCCACATATGTCCCACGGGCAGGGGGATGCTCCCAGCCTGCATACCTGCAGCTGGTGCTGCTCGCACCTGTAATCTAGCCTGAAGGTGACGAGTGACCCGCCGGCAATGGCAGCATCACACTTAGAGAAACTGCTGGTGCTGTCAGCTGTAGGGGCTTTAATTGTTACCAATTCCTCCATAATTTGAAGCCTCGCACACTGGTGGTAATAGGCTGCTGGTCTCTTGTCGTGTCCAAGCAGTTCAGAGGAGGCACACAGCCCAGGAGCATGCTTGGATGGTGGTTAGGTGGTGCTGGCAGTCTTGCTGCATGCAGCAAAAGGAGCCGAGAGCATCCTGGAAAGCAAGTCAACATTTTTCCAGGTGTTGCATTTTTCACAAGCCCTTTTCTTTCCACCCTTGCTCCTCAGTGGCTGTGCTGGCCAGTGCGTGCGCCATCCCATCCCTGCCCTCCTGGCATCAGCCTTCATCACACGACTGGCTGTCCAGCATGGTCCTGTATCTGGAGCTACCTGTGACCTTTCCCAGGGCCAGACACTCCCATTAAGCCCCCAACCCACCCTCACTGCTAGAGCTGCTCCTTCAGCCTGAAGCTGACCTGGGTCGTCTTTTCTGCTGTTTCTGAACACGAGTTCTCATCTCATTCAGGTGTGTCATTCAGTGGAAATATTTTGTAAACGCAAATAAATCTATTCAATACCTCGGTTTCGAGGATGTAAAACAAGTAGTTGGAGGAGCCCGGGTGGGAATGTTTCGCAGCAGCTGCCCCTGGCTGTATTTTCTTGCAGATGTAGCCTCTGAAGCATCCACAAACGGTTCAGAAAGGCACTACAATACTCTGCAAGGGCTCTGGGATGACCCGCAGGGCCCCTCTGTGTGGCTGCTGGCAGCGGGGACAGCCTCACACTCGATCCTTTCTGATCTATATGGCCATGGATGGCATCAAGCGGGTGGCCTGTGTCCGTCAGGCAGAGCCAGGCACAAGCGGGTACATGGTGAACAAATTATTTTGTGAGCACTGGGAACAGTTTTTACTTTTCAACTATGTCAATATGATCTAGCTCTGTCCGTCTCTCTATATATGTACAAACAGTATATCACAATGTTGCCTTTTTTGTTGGAAATATCAAAGTACAAAGATTGTAAACCAAATCGGTGTAATAAAAGTTTCAGATGACTCATGGAAGCGGCTGTCAGCAGTGGGTCTGTGGGTGTGGGGTCGCTCAGAGCTGGGAGAGACCCAAGCCCTTGTGTTGCTGGAAGGGGTGCTGGAAGCCTCCTGCTACCACGCATGCAGGGGTAGGTTGGTTATCCCAGACACGATGTGAGCAGTCAGTAATACCTTCAGTTCCTTGCTTGCTGCAGCTGTCCAGTCAGAGAGGCTCAGCAGGCTGCTGCAGCAGAGGCTGCAGGCGGGCAGCATCCCTGTTGGCCCACAGCATTTGGCTGATGAGGTACTCGCTATCCTCGCCCACCTCTGCCAGGCGGAGATCAAACTCAGTCAGGGTCTGGTTACACCTGAGCCCTTCCAGCAGCTGCTTGCCACCATCCTGCAGCAGGTGAGAAAGAGCCCGTCAGACAGTGACAAAAGTGCCTAAGGCTTCTCCCAAGCCTGAAACGTAGCTCACTAGAGAGGGACGTGGAAGGAGTGTAGCCTTATGCAGCACACAGTGATATGACACATGCTAATGACTCCCTCTGGGTATCGTGTCAGGAGTCCTCAAGCTCAGGCTGGGTAATGGCATGGGCAGAGGATAACCTGCGAGGAGTCTGCGCTGCCCTGCCCCTTAGTCTCCAGCACCCTGCTGGCTAGGGATGAGCAGCAGTGGGATTAGATGCATTGCTCATCTCCCTTGGGTTCCATTTCCTGGGCAGGGCTGGCTTTTGTGGGGGAACATCTCACACAATTAATGCTGCATGGGTCAGACAATGCAATGCAGATTCATAAAATCATAAAATGGCTTGAGTTGGAAGAGATCTTGAAGCCTATCCAGTTCCAACCCCTGCCATGGGCAGGGCTGCTACCCACCAGCCCAGGGCCCAATCCAACCTGGCCTTAAGTACCTCCAGGGATGGGGCACCCACAACCTCTCTGGGCAGCCTGCTCCAAACTGTTCCAATGTAGACAGCTGTAGGGAGGCAGCACACCTTGCATTTCCTTCCCTTGCCTGAAGCATTGTCTTCAGGTATGCAGCAATCTGACCTTTGTTTCCCACAGCTCGTCTCTTTCAGGTGCCCAACACATGCCCTGACCCCATCTCTGCTGTGCAGGCAGTCCTATCCTCAGCACGTTGACTGTTAGACCTTTTGCTAAAAAGGACAGAACATGAGAAAAGAGAGAAGCTTCTTCTTAAAGGAATACAGAGGTCAGAATTTGATGCATTCCTCACAGAGATTCCCATTTCCCTATATATAAAATAAAGATAAAAACACTTCACAAGTGGGTTCTGAAAAAGCTCATCAAATGGAAGATGCTAACCACAAAGATTATTATTTACGAAGCAAAAACCCTTCTAATCCTTTCCATCCCATGTCCCTTTGTATCGTTACACTCAAGCAGTTTTCCATGTCCAGAACAAAAGAAAATGAGATCTCACAAAAGGTTTTCTGCCATCAAATCCTTTTAAAGCCCTTGTCAAACATAATGATGCCGATATTCCTGCCAGCAGGGACAGCTGGTCTTGCTGTCTCTTTATTGTGACAGTGAGAAAAATTGAAGCAGCACAGAAAGTTTGAGAACCGGCATGATTGAATTTAGCTGTCCAGTTTCAGATTTCTGAAGTTCATCAGCAGAAGAGAAATTGTCTGCTTTGTGGGTATGGTGCACACTGCAGCTCTTAGGGATACAGTAGGATCTGCAGCAGCTCCTCTGCCTGCAAAATGTGAGCGTATGGCTCAGGAGCCACATATAAGCATCCAGATGTGACACTTCAGAGCTACTGCACTGCTCCAGAGCTGTGGGGTGAATTAAAGGGGCTCAACAACAGAGTCAGTTTTCTAACAATGTCCTCTGAGTGTGTAATGGACAGGAGAGATTCTGGGAAGGGTGAAACTGTGCTCTGCTGCGTGCCAGAGGGCACAGCAGATTCAAAGTACAAATGAGGGTACAAATGAGGCGCTCATCTCGTGCCACCTATCGTTTTCATCTACTCCCACGTGGGTAAACAGACTGTGATTTTCCCAAGCACACAGCCTGGATTTTGGTTTCTCATGGGGAAAGCCCCTCTGCCCAGAAGCCAAAGCCAGCTCCTGCCTGAGAGCCCCATAAAAACATGTTGTGAGTGATACAAATGTGTGTCACCATGGAAAACCTCCATCCTCCTGTCTACTGTTGTCTATTCACTGCTTCCAGCTGATTGTTATCACAGCAAGACTGCAGATAGCAAGGGATACATTCGCCCCATGGCTTGGAGGAAGATCAGGCTCAGCATTTGCTTTGCAACAGAATCTCAGGATGGATGAGGTTGGTAGGGACCTATAGAGGTCACCCGGTCCAACCCTCTGCTTAAGCAGGGTCCCCATGAGCTTGCCCAGGACCACATTCAGACATCAAACCATGCATCCATGCAGGATGCCAAGCTGCCCGGAGAAAGTGCTTCTCTTACCAGCCCGATGGGGTTGCACGAGAAGTTGATACATGTCAGGGTGGAGTTGTGAGTGAGGACCTGGGAGAAAACCACGGCTGTCGGCTCTGCCAGCCTGTTGCCTCCCAGGTGGAGGGACTTCAGGGTGGTGTTGGTCAGCAGAGCACAGCCCATGGCCTCCCCACCCTCGTCCTCCACGTGGTTGAGGCGCAGATTCAGGGAGGTCAGGGTGCAGTTCTTTGCCAGCGCTTGGGCCAGAGCCTGGGCACCCTCATTACAGATTTGGTTGTTACACAGATGGAGGATTTCTAACTTGCTGCAGTTGATCAGCTTGCTGACAGCTCGTGCCCCCTTGTCTCTGATGAGGTTGTGGGATAAGTCCAGCTCCACCAAGGAGGGGTGATCCAGCAAGTTGCGGACCAGCAGCCTGGTCTTGTCATCATCCACGTTGCTGCGTGTCAGCTTGAAAATCTGAGGGTAAAGGACAGAAAAACAAGTAGTGCTTTGGGATGGCCTTTGCACAACCCCTTGAGCCCCTGGATCAGCAGAGATAGGATTCGCTTCCCTTTAAAAAGGTAAGGGTGCGACAGCAAGCAAAACTTGCCCCTGGGTTTCTTCCTCTAGGCAATTTCAAGATTGAGCTGAGGAAGACAGGTTCATTCTGGGATATGTTACCTTCAAGTTGTGACACATCTTCACGGCAGCAGCCAGGTTGCAGCAGTCCTGGTAGGTGAACTTAAAGAGGTTCCACTCAAAGTTCATGCCACAATCCTTCACTCCGTAAGTAAGATTAAGCTCTTCAAGGAGAGGGAGAGCAGGAACGAGGGCTCCCAGGTCATAGTGATGAATGCAGACCTCACCAAACCCCGAATCACTCCCTGAATCAGAAAGGTCATCTGTCTCTTCCTTTTGATCCTCCTTCACCGGTGGCAGGAACTGATCAACCTCCAGTTTCTGCACATAGTCTCTGCAGAGCGGGATGAGCTGCAGGACCTGGTCAGGGTCTGTGGTGTTGGGGACAAAGCATTTCAGGATGTTTTCCAGGTGACGTTCAAAGAACATCCGCTTCCAGCTGCCTCCATGGTTGGAGACGTCACACACTTGCCAGCGGTCGGTGCAGCACCTCTTCCAGTAGCCCTCATCACTTATAAGGTTGGCAGTGACAGTGAGTGGAAGGCCTGTGGGAAGCCTGGCCAGCACCTTCCTTTGGTCCTCAGGTGGAAGACGATCTAAAACAGGGTTGTCTGGAGGGAACGGAGAGGAAGAGAGGTTGGTCTGGGCTGTGGAACTAGGGGTGGCCCTGCAGTTCTGCCTACGCCCCCTGCTGATGCTGATTCACCTCTCAGTATCCGGCAGATGGTGCAGGGAGCTAAGCTGGCTAAAAATTACTCTTTTTTTCTTTTTTTTGTGCATGTATGTAGTTACAGTCCCAGCATGGATACATCGTTAGTCCTGTCTTTGATCCTTGTTGCTGCTCTACTGAGTGATGAGTTGTCCCTTTCTTTTCCCTCTCCCAGGCAGTTCCAGATGAGACGTGCTTTTTATATTATACTATGCTTCATCTACCCACCTGCTTCAAAAGCACATTTGCTGCCTGAGGATAGAACTTGTCACGTCCCCACCAAGGGCTGTGGAGGAAGCCTGAAGCTGTGAGCGCATGTATTCTGAGATGGAAGTATTTCTGCATCTCTTTATAAGCACTTGGCACGATGGGGCTGCATCCTTGTTTGCTGCTGTAATGCGTGACCCAGGAACCAGCGACTTCAGAGCCCTGCTTGCAGCCAAGCTGAGTCCAGCAGGAAAAAGAAGCCACAGGACAAGGTTAGGGTAGAGTCACGTCCTGGATAGCAGCCCGGAAGACGAAAGCCATCCCTGTAGCATACAAGTACACACTTAGCAACTAAGCAGTTTGTCTAAGTAGCTGCCTGAGGAGATATTTTTCCCCATCTGCTCCTTTGGCAGGGGTGGGTACCACACTGCGCCTTCCAGCTGCCTCTGCCTGCCTCGCTGCCCCTCCGCTTCCCAAAAAAATCAGCACTCCCCACCATGCTTACTTGTGAAATTCTGCACGATGTGCTGCAGGCAGAGCTCTGTGAGTGGGGGGACAGTGATGAGGCACCACTCGGGATCCTCGATGATGCGGTGCATGCAGTACGAGTCAGCCATGAGCCTGCTTTGGGAGGGACGCAGAGAGGGGATGGCTCTGCCCCTGCCACCTGCTGCCTGCTGCATCCTGCTCAGGACCCGCTTCTCCTTCAGCAGAAGCACGAGGAAAATGGCTCGGGATCAGGAAAACACCACTGTGCTTTCCAGCCAGGCTGCCTGATTAAGAAAAAGGCAACCTTAGATGGAGGCCAGCCATAAGGGTGCTCTGCTTGTGCTATTTCATCATACAGTTTCAGCCAGCCCTTCTGCTTCTTTGCTTGCACCTGGAGCACCACAACAAAACAGCTTATCTTTATGTAGTACCTTGCACAAAGAGGTCTTTAGATACTGCATGGAATGAACAGGTAATAAGGTGGCATTAATTCAAATGTTGTTGAAGAGGATGGACAAGAATTGATTGCTTGCTGTCTGTTCCAGAAAAGAAATAGGCAAAGCTGTCAGGATGGGTTTAAAACAAAAGAAAAAGGGGGTTCTTCACTGGGGAATACCTTGCCGCAGGATATTGTAGGTGCTGACAATCTGTGGAGGCTGCAGGATAAATTCAAGGAAAAGAAACCCCTTGTGAATGAGTCAATGCTCAGAAGCCTCACCTGGCTCAGTCTGAGTTGAAGATGGTTGGAGGTGGGGAGAGTACTGGAAGAAAGGAACACATACTTGTGGTTTTCCACCTGCTTATAGTCACTGCTGGAAAGGGATACTGGGCCAGATCATCTTCTGGTCTGATCCAGTTTGCCTGTATTTACAGACAGATGCTTACTATAAGTGCATGCACTTTTTAATACTTTGCTCAATTACTCTCCTGCTGAACTCCTTCCAAGCATCCATTAACAGATGAGATGGTTCAGACCTGTCCAGACCCACCCTGAACATCAGCAGATAAGAGCTAAAAGAACCAGCCTGGAGCAGAAGGCGGGATGCTCGGTCCTATTAGCCATGCAGAGCTTTCCCAGATTAAACTTTCCCATTTGCTGCTTCCCACCCCAATCTCAGGAGCTGTAACCTCAGCTGTGTGCATCATCCACGTGCGCAGTGATTGTCTGGAAGCCCTGATGGGTACGAGCAATGAGTCTGCCTCTTGAATACCCAGGTTTGTTGATCCTCTGTCAGGGTGTGCAGAGCCATGCTGACCTTTACTGGGCCGTATGGATTAGAGGCACCTAAAAGCAGCATCAGGCAGAATGTGGGCTGGCAGTGTCAGAAGAGAGGGCAGCTTCATATAAGATCAAGAGGATGGCTCAGGGCAAAGGGCAAAGTCAAAAGGATCATGTCATATATAGAAGCCAACAGCCCCTTAGCATCGTGTCCCACAGCATTCCTCAGCCCTACAGCCCTTCGGTCCCTTCTCTGCTGTCCCAGCTTGTGCTGCCTCAGCCAGCATGATCCCTTTCCCTAACAGCTTTGTAGTGGGCTTTGCTAGCTTGCTGCCTCTGCTGTTGAGAGGAAAGAGGAGAGAACCGACTGCACAACCCTGTTGAAAACTGAGCTCCTGGTGCTTGCTGGGCTTTTGCAGAAGGGCATAGCATGGTTGGATGGCGGTGAGGTGGCACTGACAGAGATGAGGTGACTGGAAAATGCTTTCTCCTTGCTCAGCCCTTCATCCTATTCAAAAAGCATCTGTGTCACTCTGTCCCCCAGGCCAGTCACAGCTAAATGGGGCTTCCGATGGCTTTTCTGTGGTCAGAAAAGGGTTGGAAGATGGTGAGCACATATTTAAACAGCTGAGCAGCCTTTCAGTCGCACCTGCTTTGCTCTGGGAATGGACACCGCAGTTCAAAACTGGATGAAGCTCTCAGAACATGGCTGCAGCACCCTGGATGTGCTGGCAGCTCTCCCTGCCTCTGTGCTGTGCTCACCCTGTGCAGGTGAGAGGAGGCACAGGCTGGCAGTCCCACAGCCAGCAGCACTGCCTTGCAGAGCTCTCTGGCACTCGCACAAAAGGGCTGATGCTAAGGATCCATTAGGACAGCATATTGCAGCTCCTAAAGAGTCTCCGCAATGGGCCTTAAGTAAAGGGAAAAAATGCATGTCAGACGAGGAATCTACTTAGCTCCAAATATAATGGAATTTATCTGTAACTGGATATCAGGAAGAATGAGGCCAGGCAGACATTCGGGAATAGGGCTCATGTGGCCACAACCACCCAGCCAGCACCGAGGGCCACAACACGGTCCTGGGTGACACCAGCAGAGATGAGGGTCGCTGCCGGGAGGGGCCTCAGGAGCAGGAAATCTCTTTAGGAACCGGGGAGGGGAGGTGGGGGGAAGCCTCACAGGATGGTAAGGAAAGCAACGGGCTGCCCCCACCCACGGCCCGTCAGACACTCAGCCCATCTACCCTTCTCTCTCCCCGGCCTCCCGTCTCCCCGCCGCCCCCGGCCCCGTACCCGCCGCCCCTCACCGTCGGGGACGCGGCCGTTGCCGGGGCTGCCGCCGGTATCCAGGGACGCGGTGGCTGCAGGGCTGGCCGCGGCCCCAGCCCGGCAACAGCGCCTTGGGCACGGACGGGGAGCAGTCAGGGCTTAGGGAACAGCATCGTCGGCAGCACGTGCAGGGACTGCACACAATATACGGAGTCAACAAAGGGATGAAAGCGCGCGTCGCATTTTTCCCCTTTCTCAGATCGAAGCGTTTCGGTGTTTGCCCACAGATTTTCCAGCTGAAATGTGACTTTCGTAGCGCCGACGGGCTCGGCAGTGGGTACAGCACTATCTCAGCCACTGCGTGCCCCGTGGGAGTGCGCACAACGCTGGTGCCAGCTCTCATGATACTCTCGCTAGTCTCGAGATAGCTGGCGCTCTTGGGAAGCTGCGCTGCCTTTCATTCGAAATACACCTCCTGGTTGTGAGGATGTGATGAATGTGACCTGAGATTACCCTGAAGACTTCACAGTGAAACAACAGGCATTTAGATCTAAAAAAGCATCAAGATCCTGAGGCGTGCTGCGTGACTTTTGGTGGTGTGAAGCAGGACCTCAGCAGCAATGTGCTTTCTTCTGTAGGCGGATGACACTGCTGTGCTCCAGATCTGGGGACAAGTGAGGCAGCCTATGGGCCAGGCTGGCGTTTAAACATGTTTGGGGCTTTCTAGAGCTTGAAAAAGTAAGACTGGGGGCAATGCTTAGCCATAAATGTTCTCTCTTGCACTGAGCAGAGCCTTCAAGCAGCCTGCAGTGGCAAAGCCTTCAGCCCACCTCATGGTAACGAGATGCAGATGCTATGCTTTGAAGTGGGGTCTGGCTTTGCCTGCCCAGAGCCATGGGATCCCAGAGATGGTATGGCTCACATACTGCAGTCAGCTGTGGAATGGGATGCAACTGGATCTTGAATCATTGAAAACAAGGAGCAGCAACTTCAAAATGGCTGCATTAACTCTTCCTCTGTTTATTTTCATGCATGCGTTCCATCAGGGTGTGCAGTCTTAGGCACTGTTGCTCCTCAAATGAGCTAGAGAACAGCACAACTCTGTTAGAAACTAATACTACAACAACTAACTAGGAGTGGAGCCTGTGCACTGATGGGGGGAGCACGTCTCACACAGGGCATCTGAGGCTGGGATGCTGTTGAGGCTGATGGCTGGATGGTGACAACCTATTTGGTGTCCCAGGCATGAGACTAGAAATATGTTATCCTGCCTGGCTTCTCCCACTCTGATTTGTGCATGTCTTTGTAAGGACTTGCAGGTAGTCGAGCTTTGAAGGGTGAATGCAGCATCACACCACTTTGAGGAGAGCAGGGAAAATCCTTGCTTGATCTGCCACAGAGCTAAACTCATAACTGAGCATGATCTCTGCAGCACCAAAATCTCAGGCTTTGTGAGAGGGCACAGGAGCCCAGGGAGAGTCCTCTCCCAGCAGCACACAGCATAAGGACTGCTGACAGCCCTGCAGTGTTGGCAGCAGCCCTGTGGCAGTGTCACTGGGCAGGGACTGCTGCCATTTCCAAGGGGCAGTGTGTGTGCTTGTGTGCATGAGCAGAGGAGGTGACTGAGCTGCCCAGGTGCTTTCTTTCCTGCAGCACAGCAGCTTTCCTGGACTCTAATGGGCTGCTGGGTTTCTCCCTGATGGGATGACAAGAGCACCAGCTGCCTCCTCGGGGACTGCACAATGCATCTGGCAAGGCTCTTGCCTGCAGCAAGAGGCAGGCTGCGTGCTTGTAGTGGCATCTGGAGGGAACAGCAGTGGAAGGGGAAAAAATCCATGCATGAATCCTCCCAGCCAGCCATGCTAGGGCATCTCCTGCAGTCCCTTTTGTCCTCATGTCACATCACAATGGTCAGAATTCACTGCAGTTTAGGACACAATTTTGTCCAAGTTCTTTATGCCATATGGGGTGGCTTCTGCAGTGGGGCACCCCAATCTGTCAGGCATGGTTTGTTGTGTTGTGCACACTCCTGGGGTATGGCTGGAGACTGTGAGAGGGGCATTTGCTGATCAGTGAGTGCCTGGCACAAAAGGGATTTGCCTGGGCAGGAGCTGGTGAAGTTTGTCCTTGCTTCTAGGGATTCTCCTTGCAAAGCGGCTTGTGCTGCTTCAGTGGGAAGCTCAGAGAAGCACAGAAAGTTGCCAGACTGATGGGGGCTGGATAAAATGAAGATGCTGAGGGGTGGAGACAAGATTCAAGGCTCTGTCTCCAAGCCTTCTTCCTGTTGGTTCCCGCTGAAAAATGCTGCTAAAAAGCAGTTGACATCTCCTGCATTCCTAGAGGAAGTGGTGAAAGGAACAGGAGAGAAAATAGCTCCCTGCAAAGTCAGCATTGAAGGAATGGGGAGCGCTGATGGGGTGAGAAGCACTGCATGCATGTGTGCTGCTTCTCCCGCAAAGCTTTCCGCTCTCCCCCTAGGTCCCAGCAGGAACCACGCAGCTGCTGACAGCTATTAATAGAGGGGTTGATTGTGAATTCTGTCTCCTACTGCTTCCTGGGAAGAGCAGTAATTACCCTTAATTAGCTTGGATTTGATTCCACCTCCCACCTTCCAGCCCCCTGCCCTGCTCACAGGAGCCAGCCCAGCTGCTGCCTGCACTGCATGGTGGGGAGCGGTGCTCGTATCCCGTGTGTCCTGCAGGCTCACTCCTGGGTACTGAAAGCAGCAGGAGCTGTGAAGCTCATTTTGCCCTGGCCTTTCCACTATGACACAGGAACCAAGCAGGAGGTGAGGGGAGTGGTCCTAGTAAAGAGCCTGAGGATGCTGGCAGGTGGGAGGCTTAGCAGCTGGCAGCACTCCACCATGGGGAACCCCTTCCTTCTAGGATGCTTGCTGCTCATGGCAGGGTGGATGCATTTTCTGATGTTGGTGCTGGAACTCCCTAGGCTAGATAGTTTAATTGTCTCTTCTCGTATTTCAAATACATTTTTCAGATCATATGCTTTCTTGACAGAATCTTGAAAACCTCCAGGCGGGCAGGAGCTGTGCCCAGGGACCCAGCAGCTCCTGTCTGCAGCCCCTCTCCTTGCTGCTGGAGCACTTTCACTGAGATCTCTCCAGCATCAGGCCAGAAGATTCAGGCCTCTCTGTTGACTCCCGCTCAGCCCCTTGCATCTCATCCAAATGCCAGATGGCAAACTAGCTTCAGCAGGAGCTGTGCCAGGCCCTCCTCCCTTCCTCTCCACCCTTTAAGCTATAGAAAAATGGTGAAGAACCAACACAACTCTACCAGTGGATGCAGACTTCAAGCTGTCGTGCTTTCCCCTGCTTTCCCAGACTTCAGCCCCAGCTGTGTGGGATTGAGGGGGGAGATGCTAGAGAAGAGCGGACCTGGTCTCCTTATGCCCAACTCCCAGGCTGCTATAAGTAATGGATAAAATTGAGGATGCAGCCACAGCTGCTGCTGGCTCAACACCTGCTGACCAGTTGAGCAATCCCTTCTCTCTTCAAGGGACTTCAGCACCTTCTGCTGGCTCTTCCTGATACTCAGGGAATGCCATCATCGCGGCATCAGGCCCTCTCTGTTAGCTCTGGGGTCTCCCACTGTTAGTCCTGTGTTGCAGCAGGCCCCTCAGCTCCTCTTCCTGCAGCACAGGTCCCCTCATTGTCACTTAGCTGGGGAATGGGGATGGGGAAGACAAGCCTCTCAGTACCTAGGAGAAATGCTCAGAAATAGGGCTAGTTGCAGTAGGTTGGGCTGTAAGGAGGGTCACCAGGGTCACCAAACACTTTCACAGGTCACCAAACACTGTTCCTGGGGGATGGGTTGGTGCCACAGCCCTGCAGCTGCTGCAGGAATGCTGGTGGGATTTCCACGTGGAGGAGGGACAGGATCTGGTGAGCACCTTCTCTTCCTTCTGTTTCTTGCAGCTTCTGCAGCATTCAGAGCAGGTGTGAAGCCTTTCCCTTCCCTTGCTGGAGATGAGAGCTGGTGGGAGACTGTTTTCCAGAGCCCCATGGAGATACTTCCTTCACTTTGTATGGTCTCTTGAGTTGCTTGAGAAGTCCATGATGTGCATTTCAGCTTGTGGATGCGTATTGTTCCCTCTCCTGCCCTAATTCCAGCTTCTCCCTGTTCTGCTGTGTTTTGATCAGCCCAAAGTATTTGCAACAGGGGTAGGCGCTATGCAGGGACATGAAGCACGGGGGGATCAAGTCTGCCAGACCAGGTGGTTTTACACGGGGAGCACAGCCCCTTTCCCTCACATGGCTGCCAGAAAGCAGCTCAGAGACCCAGGGGCTGCTCCAGCTGAGGGCAGTGCCCCCTTTCCTTGTGGGAAAACAAAGCCCAACGCAGTGAGGACAATGTCAGCGTGGTTGCTGTGGCGGGAGGACACTGATGGGGTAGGACAGCCTGGGACCGCCGAGGGCTGCAGAGCTGATGCTGTCCTTTGGTGCCCTCTTTCCCCCTCATGCACCTCATCCCTGCAGGGCTGCATGGCCTGGTGCCAAGGGCTGAGGAGCTGCCAGCTGCCATCGCCCTCCCTCTAGTGACGGGTGGCAGAGCCCCAGCCCTCTCTTCGTGCCCTCTTGTCCTCTCTGCAGGGAAAGCCGCCTGGATTCTCTTTGCATTCAGGGAGTGCTCATTGTGGCAGGGCTTGCCTTGCTGTTGCCATCTCTGGGTGGGCTGTCGCTGTGTTTCCAGCAAGGCAGTGGAGAAAATTAAAAGCCTCAGTGAGCAGAGCAGCCAGGCTGAGCCAGGAAGCATCAGCGGTGCTTCTGTCAACACTGCAGCCGAGGAAGGCAGGCAGCTCCTTAATTATTGATTGCACTTATAAATAAATGCTGGGATGGGGAAGAGAAGGTTACAGCAGAGCAAAGAGCTGCTTTGAGATGGGGGAGGAAATGTGAGAATGTGGCTGTTTTAAAGGT